ACTAGTTCTTCATTTATGAATCTTTTTTTTTTTTTTTTTTTGAGACAGAGTCTTGCACTGTTGCCCCAGCTCGCCTCCTGGGTTCAAGCAATTCTCCTGCCTCAGCCTCCCGAGTAGCTGGGACTACAGGTGCCTGCCACCACGCCCGGCTAATTTTTTGTATTTTTAGTAGAGACGGGGTTTCACTATGTTGGCCAGGCTGTTTTTGAACTCCTGACCTTGTGATCCGCCCACTTCGGCCTCCCAAAGTGCCAGGATTACATGAATTTTGTTTTTTGACAGAATTTCCATTGGCAGTGATGGCCAATATTGTTTAGCTCTGGCCACTCCCACACATCCCCTTCCAAGAGTCAATGATGAATAAATAGGCAAACCCTTAAATATCCTAGATATGCTAGAAATTCTTTCATAAGGGATCTATCCAGTAAGTTCAGAATTCATCTGTTGTTATATATATGGAAACATGACTTTTTGTGATATACGTTCCAGGAGGTAAAGATGGTGTGACTGGTGCCCTGAATATGGGTGGAGGCATCAAGTCTCCTGATGTTGAGTTCTTCAATATTCCTTAACCACACCTCACTGTTCTAGAAGTCCTCATTTGCTTCTTTACACTCTGGTCCGTCGTGGGACTGACTGGATTTCACACTTTCCTCGTGGCTCTCAACCAGACAACCAATGAAGACGTGAGTCAACTTACTCTTCTCCTCACCACATATTCTTCTTCCCAAAGCCTATCCTCTTGCTACTTGCTAGAGAACTACTTGCTAGAGTCTCCAGGGCCTGGGAGGTTGAGGCAGGCAGAAACGTGGTGTGCGAGATCGTTAAGTCAGATGTGTGGAAGAGAAAGCAGAGGGCTTTGTTTGGAGTTGAATGCTTGTGGAGCATTAGGAAGAAGAGGTTGAAAAGTTGGGTGGGTATATAGCCTTTAACTGTTCACAGGTCCTTAAAGGCTAGCTGGTGCCTCTCTTTGGCATGGAGAGGGACAGTTGCACTGGATGAATCCTTGCTATATAAAAAGTTACCAATTAGGCTGGACGTGGTGGCTGATGCCTGTAATCCAAGCACTTTGGGAGGCTGAGGCGGGCAGATCACCTGAGGTCAGGAGTTCAAGACCAGCCTGGCCAACATGGTAAAACCCTGTCTCTACTGAAAATACAAAAATTAGCCGGGTGTGGTAGTGCACACCTATAGTCCCAGCTACTCGGGAGGCTGAGGCAGGAGAATCGCTTGAACCCTGGAGGTGGAGGTTGCAGTGAGCAAAGATCATGCCAATGCACTCCAGCCTGGACGACAGAATGAGACTCTGTCTCAAAAAAAAAAAAAGAAGGTACCAATTAATCTACATTCACTGTAGAAAATCAGAAAATACAGATGAGCAAAAAAGAAAAAGTAAGTTCCTCTTACTTTACTTCTTAGACATCACCTTTGTTAGTAGTATGATTTATATATTCTAGACTTGTCTAGACTTGTTTCCATGTTTATTTGTGTTTATATTATGTACTTTTAAATAAAAATAATATATATCATTCAGTTATCTGCTTTTTTCACTCTATTGTGAGCTTTTTTCATGGCTGTGTATTTCTTTTTTATTATGATAAAATATACATAATATAAAGTGTGCCATATTAAATGTCTTTCAACCCTGGCGATCAATGGGGAGACAGATATTGCAGCCAGATTGCTCTCACATCCTAAATGTACAGTTCAGTGGCATCACATTGTTGTGCAACCATTGCCACCATCCATTTCCAGAACTTTTTTATTATCCCATGCTGCACGTGTTTCTTCAACATTATTATTATTTTTTTCTTTTTTGTGTTTTTTTAAAATTTTATTATTATTATTTGTTCTTTTTAACATTATTTTTAATGTCAACCTTGGCTTTTATCTTGCAGATCAAAGGATCATGGACAGGGAAGAATCGCGTCCAGAATCCCTACAGCCATGGCAATATTGTGAAGAACTGCTGTGAAGTGCTGTGTGGCCCCTTGCCCCCCAGGTACTCAGGGCACTCAAAATTCCTGGGACTTTTGGGATGAGCAGCTCAACCTGGTCCTGTTACCTGGTCTGATGTGTTTTTCTGAATGTGGCCTCTTGGTGTCAAATAGGTCTTCCCAGGGCTTGCCACTTGGTACCATGTCTATATGGACCATAGACCATGGGCTGGTTGTTTTGGAGGGATGATCTTTCATTCTTATTTCATTTGTTTGTTCCCTGGTTAATGTGACATTTCCTGGTTTGTGGAAGAAAAAGTGAATGGGAGATAAGAGGCGTGTGCTGTGTTCAGGCTAGATCGCCAAAGGACAGGTTTATATTTTCCAGTCTATGCAGCAAAATTCAGTAGGCTGGGTGGGTGGAGGGGTGAATGCCCAGTTCTTTGTTAACTCTCTTATCTCCTTCAGTGTGCTGGATCGAAGGGGTATTTTGCCACTGGAGGAAAGTGGAAGTCGACCTCCCAGTACTCAAGAGACCAGTAGTAGCCTCTTGCCACAAAACCCAGTAAGTGTTCCTGACTTAAGGCTGGGTCAATGATAGAGAGGGCGGAGGCCAATTTACAGCTTGGAAATATAATTAGGCAATATTGTATTCTAATCACCCCAGCTTCCCTGCCTCTACAGCTGCCCTGACATTGCCTTCAGATCTTTGTGCCCTTGATGTAGATTAAGATTTAGTCATTTCTTTGGTGTATATTGAGTGACTCTGTGCCAGCCACTGTACTAGCTGCCAGGGATATACCAATGAATGAGGCAAACGACGTCCCTGCTCTCAAGGAGCTCATTGTCTAGTGGGGGCAAGAAACAAGTAAACAGGCCATTGCTCAACATTGTGAAAAGTGCCTTGATGAGGAAAGCATAAAATGCTATAGGGGCAAAGATAGAGGTCAGGGGATTGTATTAGAGTTAGTGATGTGGTTACCTTGGTAGAAGGGGGCTTCCTAACTGGAATATGCAGATGTTGTGGAAACTCTCCCAGCTGTCCTATTTAAGATATATAAGTGTATCTTTAAAGTATGTAAAGTACTTTCCAAAAAAAAAAATTACTTGAGCTTTTTTTTTTTTTTTTTTTTGAGATGGAGTTTCACTCTGTTGCCCAGGCTGGAGTGCAGTGGTGTGATCTTGGCTCGGCTCACTGCAACCTCCGCCTCCAGGTTCAAGCAGTTTTCTGCCTCAGCCTCTGAGTAGCTGGGATTACAGGTGCCCGCCACCATGCCTGGCTAATTTTTGTATTTTCAGTAGAGACAGGCTTTCACTATCCTGGCCAGGATGGTCTCCATCTCTTGACCTCGTGATGTTCCCGCCTCAGCCTCCCAAAGTGTTGAGATTACAGGCGTGAGCTACCATGCCCGGCTGAGCTTTCTTTTTTTTAATAAGAGCTTTATTGAGATATGATTCACATACTATAGATCCCCCCCTTTTTTTTTTTTGAGACAGAGTCTCACTCTGTCGCCCAGGCTGGAGTGCAGTGGCGCGATTTCAGCTCACTGCAACCTCCACCTCCCGGGTTCAAGCAATTCTGCCTCAGCCTCCTGAGTAGCTGGGATTACAGGCATGTGCCACCAGGCCCAGCTAATTTTGTATTTTTAGTAGAGACGGGGTTTCTCCATGTTGGTCAGGCTGGTCTCGAACTTCTGACTCAGGTGATCTGCCACCTTGGCCTCCCAAAGTACTGGGATTACAGGCATGAGCCACTGTGCCCAACTAATCCCTATTTAAAATGTATGATTCGCTGATCTAGAATATTCACAGAGTTGTACAATCATTATAACAATCAATTTTAGAGCATTTTCGTTACCCTTCCACCCTAAGAAATCCTGTACCCATTGGTAGTTACTCTCCCTTTCCCCTCAACTTCCCCAGCCACACCCCTAGGCAACCACTAATCTACTTCCTTCTAGTATAGATTTCTCTCTTCTGGGTATTTCATGTAAATGAAATCATACAGTATGTGGTCTTTTGTGATTGGCTTCTTTTACTTAGCATGTTTTCGAGGTTTGTCCATGTTGTACTATGTAGCAGTACTTCGTTCCTTTGTATGGCCAGATGATATTCCATTATATGGATATACCACATTTCATTTATCCATTCATCAGTTGATGGACATTTGGATTGTTTCCACCTTTTGATTATTACGAGTGATGCTGCTATGAACATTTGTGTACCAATTTTTGCATGGACATTTATTTTCATTTCTCTTGGCTATACACCTGGGAGTAAAATAGCTAGGTCATATGGTAGCTCTATGTTTAACCTTTAAGGTACTGCTGAACTGTTTTCCAAAGTGGCTGCACCATTTTATACCCCTACTAGTAGTGTCTGAGGGTTCCAGTTTCTCTACATCCTTGGCAACACTTACTATCTGACATTTTGATTCTAGCCATCTTAGTGAGTGTGAAGTAGTATCTCATTGTGGTTTTGATTTGCATTTCCCTGATGACTAATGATGTCGAATATCTTTTCATGTGCTTATTGGCCATTTTTATATGCTCATTGGAGAAGTGGCTGTTCAGAGCTTTTGTCTATTTTTTAATTGGATTGTTTGTCTTTTTTGTTGAATTGTAACAGTTCTTTATGTAATCTGTGTGCAAGTCCCTTACCAGATATACAACTTGCAAATATTTTCTCCTATTCTGTGGGTTATCTTTTCATTTTCTTGATAGTGTCCTTTGGAGCACAAAATTTTTAAATTTTGATGTAGTCCAGTTTGTCTATTTTTTTCTTTTGTTGTTTGTACTTTTTGGTGTCATATCTAAGAAACTGTTGTGTAATCCAAAGTCATGAAGATTTATGCCCCTGTTTTCTTGTTAGAGTTGTACAGTTTTAGCTCTCACTTTTAGGTTTTTGATCCATTTTGAGTTAATTTTTGCATATGGTGTGAGGTAGAGGGTCCACATTCTTTCTTTTGCTTGTAGCTATCCAATTGTCTCTGCACCATTTGTTGAAAAGACTGTTCTTTTCCCATAGACTTGTCTTGGCACCCTTGTTGAAAATCTAGAAATGTGAGAGTTCATTTCTGGACTTTCAGTTCTATTGTATTGCTCAATATGTCTGTTCTTATGCTAGTACCACGCTGTCTTGATTACTTTAGCATTGTAGTAAGTTTTGAAATCAGGAAATGTTAGTCCTCCAACTTTGTACTTCTTTTTCATGATTGTTTTGGCTCTTCTGGGTGCCTTAAATTTCCATATGAATCTTAGAATCAACTTGTTGTTTATGAAAAGAAGCCAGCTGGAATTTTGATGGGGATTTCATTGAATCTATAGATCAATTTGGGGAAATATTGCCATCCTAACAAGATTAAATATTCTGAGCCATTTGCATGGACTGTATTTTCATATATTTAGTTTTGATTTGATTTCTTTCAACAACATTTTGTAGTTTTCAGAGTATAAGTTTTATACTTTTGTTACATTTATTCATAAGTATTTGATTATTTTTCATGTTATTGTAAGTGAAATTGTTTTACTAATTTCATTTTTGGATTTTTCACTTGGAGTGTATAGAAATACAATTGATTTTTATATATGGATCTTGTATCCTAAAATCTTGCCAAACTTGTTCATTGGTTATTTTTTGTTTGTTTGTTTTTGTTTTTATTTTATGAGATGGAGTTTCACTCTGTTGCCCAGGCTGGAGTGCGGTGGCGCCATCTTGGCACACTGCAACCTCCACCTCCTCGGTTCTAGTGATTCTCCTGCCTCAGCCTCCCAAGTAGCTGGGATTACAGGTGCCCACCACCACGCTGGCTAATTTTTTTATTTTTAGTAGAGACCAGGTTTCGCCATGTTGGCCAGGCTGGTCTCAAACTCCTGACCTCAAGTGATCTGCCCGCCTTGTCCTCCCAAAGTGCTGGGATTACAGGTGTGAGCCACCGTGCTCGGCCCTTGTTCATTAGTTCTAATAGATTTTTAGTAGTTTGAACTTTGTTTTAAAATAGAATCATACTTTTAAGTGAATGCTTTTTATAAGATACATAATTGTTTTCTACTTTGCCTTTCCTAAATTTTGAATTTCCTTTTAAACTACAGCAACCCATGTTTATATTATTGTTGTCAGTTTTAATATTATTTTTTAAATGAGTCTGGACTCAAATTGTAACAATCTAGGTTAGTTATTCTTGGTTCAAAGTGGGGAAATGTGGTATTTTAGAATCATTTGGGGACATTTTCAAACCACATATGACCAGCTGAAAATTTGGACACTTGGCCTTCTTTGGTTCAGAATCACTATTCGAGTGACCTGTGTGTTTGGGCAGAAACACGATTGAGGACCATTGGGTCAGGCCTTGTTAGATAAGTATGTTATGACACTTATTCTGAAGTGGGGAGGACCTGTGTAATTATTTGTGATCCCTATTATTATGACTATTAATAATAATAGAAAAATCTGTTCCCAACAGACAGTTAAGGATCGAACTCAAATAAACTTCAGTTGTGTTCTGCTGAGAAGATGATAGCCTGGTGTTGGTTCTGAGTTTGGTGTTGGTGGCTGCATATCTGTAGCATCAGTACGGTCAGGGGGCTGAGAGGAAGAGTTCAGTGTCTAAGGCTTATCTGCATTTGGATTTTGAGGGACAGCTTTGTGTTGAATCTGATATCTTTTCCTTCTCAGGCCCCCACAGAACACCTGAACTCAAATGAGATGCCGGAGGACAGCAGCACTCCTGAAGAGATGCCACCTCCAGAGCCCCCAGAGCCACCACAGGAAGCAGCTGAAGCTGAGAAGTAGCCTATCTATGGAAGAGACTTTTGTTTGTGTTTAATTAGGGCTATGAGAGATTTCAGGTGAGAAGATAAACCTGAGACAGAGAGCAAGTAAGCTGTCCCTTTTAACTGTTTTTCTTTGGTCTTTAGTCACCCAGTTGCACACTGGCATTTTATTGCTGCAAGCTTTTTTAAATTTCTGAACTCAAGGCAGTGGCAGAAGATGTCAGTCACCTCTGATAACTGGACAAATGGGTCTCCTGGGCCCTGGCACTGGTTCTCCATGGCCTCATCCACAGGGTCCCCTTGGACCCCCTCTCTTCCCTCCAGATCCCAGCCCTCCTGCTTGGGGTCACTGGTCTCATTCTGGGGCTAAAAGTTTTTGAGACTGGCTCAAATCCTCCCAAGCTGCTGCATGTCCCGAGTCCAGAGGCAGTCACAGAGACCTCTGGCCAGGGGATCCTAACTGGGTTCTTGGGGTCTTCAGGGTTGAAGAGGACGGAGAGTGGGGTCAGAGGATTCTCCTGGCCACCAAGTGCCAGCATTGCCCATGAATCCTTTTAGGAATGGGACAGGTACCTTCCACTTGTTGTATTTATTAGTGTAGCTTCTCCTTTGTCTCCCATCCACTCTGACACCTAAGCCCCACTCTTTTCCCATTAGATATATGTAAGCAGTTGTAGTAGAGATAGCAATTGACATTTCTCGTAGACTACCCAGAAACTTTTTTAATACCTGTGCCATTCTCAGTAAGAATTTATGAGATGCCAACGGCATAGCCCTTCACACTCTCTGTCTCATCTCTCCTCCTTTCTCATTAGCCCCTTTTAATTTGTTTTTCCTTTTGACTCCTGCTCCCATTAGGAGCAGGAATGGCAGTAATAAAAGTCTGCACTTTGGTCATTTGTTTTCCTCAGAGGAAGCCCGAGTGCTCACTTAAACACTACCCCCTCAGACTCCCTGTGTGAGGCCTGCAGAGGCCTTGAATGCACAAATGGGAAACCAAGGCACAGAGAGGCTCTCCTCTCCTCTCCTCTCCCCTGATGTACCCTCAAAAAAAAAAAATGCTAACCAGTTCTTCCATTAAGCCTCAGCTGAGTGAGGGAAAGCCCAGCACTGCTGCCCTCTTGGGTAACCCACTCTAAGGCCTCGGCCCACCTCTGGCTATGGTAACCACACTGGGGGCTTCCTCCAAGCCCCACTCTTCCAGCACTTCCACCGTCAGAGTCCCAGAGCCACTTCACCCTGGGGGTGGGCTGTGGCCCCCAGTCAGCTCTGCTCAGGACCTGCTCTATTTCAGGGAAGAAGATTTATGTATTATATGTGGCTATATTTCCTAGAGCACCTGTGTTTTCCTCTTTCTAAGCCAGGGTCCTGTCTGGATGACTTACGCGGGGGGGAGTGTAAACCAGAACTTTTCATCTATTCGAAGGCGATTAAACTGTGTCTAATGCAAACTTCCTGCCTCCTCCTTCCCCCTTCCATTTCAAGAATATGTTTGTGTGTAGGGTGGGGGTGGGGGTTGGAAGGGGTTGCTTGTTACTCCCCAAACTTCCATTAACCAGGGCACCCTTGGGTTGGAGAGCTAGTTCCCAAACTCTCCATTGATCTATACTACATTCTGGGCTGAAGTTTATCTTATTCTGGACTATGAAGAAAGGACTTTCAAGGAAGTATAGTGTGAACAGGATCGGGAAGGTAGAGGGATTATATTTACTTAAGAGAACAAGCTCTATATTCGGATATTGTTTTGAAGCAGATGGATGCCGTTAATTGCTAATGAGCCTTGGTTATTAATGCAGGCTCATCAGGGCCTCCCCTTGGAAATATTTGATCAGTGGTCTTTTACAAGTGATGGTATATGTTTATTTCTAGGTGGTGTATAATCAAGATTCCTTATCAATTCCCATCTCATACTTCCCAGTTAATTGGAATTAATGAAATTTGGCTGCTCCCGGACTTTTTTCCATGTCTTCCTGTTTTCCTTGTAGCAGGATTTAAGTTGAGCATTCGAGAGAGAGAGAGAGAGAGAGAGATTGGAAGAGAGATGGGGAGAGACTGACTCAGATCCCTCTCCTGTCTTCTTCTTCTTCTGGTTCTCTCTGTTTTTTTTGTTTTGTTTTGTTTTGTTTTTTCTTGAAGTTATAAAGCCAAACCTGGAGAGTTTGTAAGTTGTTAGGTTTTCCCAGGTAACCTGGCACTCATATGAACCCCATTTTAATAAGTACTCAGCCCATCTCCTCTCCCGGGCTCAGATGGATCTCTCTCCTCCCTCACCTTACCTCAAGTGTTCTCCTGAGGACCCTTAGGTCAGACAGAGAAGCTTTCTCTTTCTGATGGGGAGGGTCAAAATGGAAATCTCTTATCTCTAGTGTGAAATGATTTTTTTTTAAGTTTCTGCTTTTTCATACTCCCTGCTCTCTTTCTTTTCCTTAATAAATCTTCTGTGTTTAAGATGTTGGCCTGAAGATCTGTCCCATTCATACCATGCACCAGCCGGGACTGTCCCTATCTGATCAGAGGGGAGATTAAAGAATCAATCTTCCCAGGGGAAAAGGGCCTTAAATTGTTTGGTCTTTTCAATGGCTGACACTGTCTCCAACTCTCCCCTTCCTCCTTTTTCCTCAAGCTTCCTATGCACCCTACTTTCCCAGGCCAGGATGGTTGGCACTGATCCCAAACCTCTGAGGGCAGGTGGAAATTGGCCGTGTTGAGCCATTTCTTCATGTCCATTCAGCTCTGAGGCCTTCCTGGCCCTAGCTGAGATCATCATCTCCTCCTTTGCTTTTTTCCCCAGGAGTGAGGTTGGGTTAGAGGTGGATTCTGATTCTATAGCAGCTAAATTCCATTCTCCCTGTCCTGACCATCCTGCCTTTACCCGTAAAGCACCCGTTCCTACTGACCAAATCTCTTTACCTTGTTGGAGAAAAAAAGTATTTTGTTTTTAAATCTATTTTCTAACTTAAATGCAATTTAATATGTAAATCTCTGCACTTTTGTGTGAGCCTACAAATGTGTATGTGTTGGGGGTTTTTCACTCTCTGGTATTTCTTAATAAAGAAATCTTTCTTTTGGGGGGAAGCCAATTAATGAAGGAGCCTTGAGTGGTTTTAGAAATACAGGGCTGTCTGTTTCTTTGTGCTTCTGCCTCATTTCTTTACTTGTGCCTAGTGTGAGTGATTGGCCTCCCTCCCCCACCTTTTGACCCCCTTCCTCTGAGAGGGCCCCCAACTTAGTGGGGCAGAGAGAAGGACCTGTCCTGTGTTTGGTACCCCTCTGGGACCACTTGGATTGGCTCTAGTAGTAACCTAGCAACCCAGCCCCCTTCCCTCTCCCCATGGCCTGGCCCTGTTAGTCCTTTTCTTCCAGCTCAGTTCATTTTATACTCCTGAGCTGGGACCAGGCCAGGGAAAATCACCAAGGGAGCACAGTAAATGGTTTTAAAAAAATGATAATTTGTTCTCGTGCCTTGGTGCTACTAAAGAAGAGTCATGTTCCCAGTAATTCAAAAAGCATTTGTGTCAGTTTGGAGAATACATTCTAGGAATCTCTTGCTGTTCTTGGTGGTAGGCTTTAGAAACAATGTCAAAGGCTACAACTCTGAATATCATTTGTTTTAAAGGATGCAAGCCCAGTTCACAAAAAAAGAGAATCATTATAAACTTTATGTTTGAGATTAATATGAAAGGGCAATGGGAACTGCAAATCTACATCAGTAAAACTTTCAATGTTCTATACGTTAATGTAGGTGGAAAAGACTGGTATAATTGGCTAGACCTAATTATTTTACAAATGAACGCAAAATGTTTTTACAGTTTTAATATATACACTGAATTTCCAGGAGTGCAACAACTGTGTACATTGGGGGAAGAGGATATTCTATTTTGTTCAAAACTCTACTAAGTAAGAGTTGCTCACAACTTTTGAAAATCATGTCACTGATGACAGTGCCATTCATGGGTATTTAAGTTGCCAATATAACATACCTGTATGAGTCTTCATTTATAGAGATTGCTTTCACACTGATATTACATATAGGTAGAAGCACCTCATACTCTATTATATGCTTTAGTGTAGTCTTGCCTTAGGTATCTGTATATTGAAATACATATCCTATTACAAATTACTTTGTATTTCTTCTTTTTAGTCTAATTAGTATATTATGTTACTATTCTTGAAATTATATGCATAAGCAGGTCATATTAACTATGAAGTTCATTTCAGGGTGGCAAAAGATGCATGCAAAATATGACATATACCAAGGGAGTGCTAGGGCTGCTAGTTTTGAGAATCGCTGGACTACATTATCTCAAGGGTTCCTTTCTAACCCTTAATATTTGGAAAGCTTGGAGAGAAAATAAACATCCTCCTCCCCTCACACCCTTAGTGTGCTTTTTAAAAATTTAAAGCTCGTTTTTGAAAATTGGAGAAGTACAGAATAGTAAGATTTGAAAAAAAATCACCCATAACCTAATCACCAAGATGTCATAATCACCAGTAATGTTTTAGTGGATTTCTTGGTAGTCTTTTTTTCTGTGCACATGCTTTTTTAAACATAACTGGAATTCAACTGTAAATGTAGTTTCGTAAACCTGCTTTTTTAACTTAGTATTTTCCATATCATTAGAAAGTATTGAAAACACTTTTTTTTTTTTTTTTTTTTTTTGAGACAGGGTTTCACTCTGTCATCCATGCTGAAGTGCAGTGGTGCAAATTTCAGCTCACTGCAACATCCGCCTCCCAGGCTCACACAATCCTCCTGCCTCAGCCTCCCAGGTAGCTGGGACTACAGGCACGCGGCACCAAAGCTGGCTAATTTTTTTGTAGAGACGGGGTTTCACCATTTTGCCAGGCTGGTTTCAAACTCCTGACTTCAAGCAATCCGCTTGCCTTGGTATCCCAAAGTGTTGGGATTACAGGCGTGAGCCACTACTCCCAGCTGAAAATACTTCTTTTTTGTTGTTGTTGTTTGAAAATACTTCTTAATGACTTTGTAACACGTACATGTCAGGCATTTAAGAGTTTCTGATTTTTCATTATTACAAATAATGCTGTGATGAACTTCCTTAAATATGGGTGTGTCTGTGATTATTTCTTTAGGACAGATTCCTAGAAGTGGGATTATTGAGTCAAAGGGAATGCTCTTTTAAAGGCTCTTGATAAATATGGCCAAATTGCTTTACTGAAAGACTGTCCCTGTTTGTTTTGCCAGCAGTGTATCAGAGAAGACTCTAATCAACCCATGTCATTTAAACCTTTCAAAGTTTTATTTTAGCTTTTTTGAGACGGAGTCTTCTTTGTCACCCAGGCTGGAGTGCAGCAGCACGATCTTGGCTCACTGCATTCTCCACCTCCGGGGTTCAAGTGATTCTCCTGCCTTAGCCTCCTGATTAGCTGGGACTACAGGTGTGCACCACCACACCTGGCTAATTTTTATATTTTTAGTGGAGATGGGGTTTTGCCATGTCAGCCAGGCTGGTCTCCAACTCCTGACCTCAAGTGATCTGCCCACCTCGGCCTCCCAAAGTGCTGGGATTACAGATGTGAGCCACCGTGCCTGGCCTGAACCTATGGTAATTTGATAGTTGTAAACTTATATCTCAGTGTTATTTAGTTTATATTTACTTGATTAATAGTGAAGTTAAACACTTTCTGCACCTCTCCTCTGCCTTATGTTTATTACCATTTGTATTTCTTCTGTAAATTGTCCTAATCTTTTGTCTATTTTTCCTCAGGCGTTAAGGGGTTTTCTGATTGATTGATTAATAAATTAGAACTTAGAGCTCACACTTCACCATGGGCCAGGAAATGAAGGGGCCTTTGATTTAGAAGTGGCTTTACAACTCTGGAACCCAGAGTAGAATTACCTCCCTGACATTTCAAGTCCTTAACTTTCTTCATGCTCCCTTGTTTGCCTTATCACTGCCTTTTCTGCCAGCCCTTGCCCTTCTTCAGTTGTTTAGCTGTTCCAACTTGTTAAAAGGGTTGGGGTTTTCTGCCCAAATAGGAGACATGATGATTATTTGTCATAAAACACGGATGCTGTTGAACAACATAGCTTAAAGGAACATATTGATCATGTAGTCTATGCTTCTCTCTCTCTCTCTCTTTTTCCCTCAAATTAAATACTGTAACTTACCCAGGGTCACATAGAGAGTTACTGTTAGAGCCAAGACCAGAACCCAGATGTACTGGCTCCCAGTCTAGAGAGCTTTCTGGCATAACTGATTGGTCCTCTGTCAAGCAGGTGTAGACAGATAAGAGAGTTGGAATAACTGCGTATGACACTTGAATGAAATGAAGCTTTCATTTATTTAACATTCAATAAATACTTGTTGAAGATTGACTGCATGCTAGGGTTAACTTTAGGAGAAATTGTAGTACCAACCCTCGTAAGTTGAGAAACAGCAATGATTTTTAGGATTATTTGCCATTTGGGATATTACTGATAAGCTCTCCATTTTAGGCATACAGAGGACTGACTATATATAGTCGGGCTGATATGAGGCTGGTTGTTGGATTTTTGTTTTAAACTCAATGCTCTCAAGTCTCTCTCCAGACCCCTGCATTTAGGTTGAACTGATGATGTGGTTTCTTTAGCACAGAAAGTCAGGAAATTGCCTTGCTAAGTTCCCACAGTCAAGTTGGCTGTCCCTTTGTGAGGGCCATTGCTCTGGGCTCTTTCTGACGCTATCCCTGGTAGGTCCCAGAGGCAATGGTATACAAATGCTATATTGGTCACTGTGAAGTTATAGGAAAAGGTGAAGCCTACATATCAAGTGCTATAGAATTCCATTTATTTAGGTCCTTCCTGGAGGAGGAGTCTTGGCTGAGTCTAGAGGGGAGGCAGTTCCTTCCCACTTGATTGTGTTGTTGGCTGAATAATCTGTAATATGGCCAATGTTGTGTGAGAAGCTATGGTAGCCTCTATTGTGAAGGAGAGGTGGGAGAGCCACTTCTTTTCCCCAGTGGGAAACCTCATACCTCATCCTGAATTTCCTGACTTGGGAGGGGGAAGGGCCTTGTTGGGCCTTGTTGAGACGATGTGCTTATTTTTCCCGTAAGAAACCTCGTTTAGCCTTTGTTTTAATGCCCTAGGTCTCTCATGGCCCAACCGTGGGCGGGGAGCTCTGTGAGTAGGAAATGAGAAATTGACTCATGGGGGCTGGGGCCTCAGTGCCATGTATCAGATCACAGTGCCATAGGGTTTGGGGTTTAGGAGAGGGAATTTGCGGAGGCCTTTGGGGGGCTGATCAGAACCTGCTGGGGTAGTCTAAGGTGAGGTTGTAAGATACAGAGGAAGCAAGTGAGAGAGGACATGCTTCATTTGGGCTGTGCCGGTGCCTCCAGCTGCTTCTCCTGACAGGAAAGAGACACAGAAGGTAGCTCTAACTCTGAACTGGTGAGGAGCTGGCTAGACTCAACTCTTTCTTCTGAAATCTGGTCTTTATTCTTTTCTTTCTAAAGCAGCCCCTAGAAGTCCAAGAGAGTTGCCTAAAGTAAGTCTAATGCCCAGGGCTGATCAACTTGCTGTGGACTGGGCAGAGCCAGGGCTGCCCCAGGCTCCTCAGGTGGGCTTTCTTTCATCACCAGCCTCTCTGGGCACCAGAGCTGGCACCCTCTACCCCTGAATCCCAACATCTCCTGGGGGCCTGGACATCAGTGGTCTCTGGGATATGACAGGTCTGAACATCAGTCAGTCCTCAGACAAGCATGTACTGACATGGCCTTTGTGCCCAGTCTTGAGCTCAGTACCCTGGAGGTTACAAAAAAGTCAAATAGCTGCCATTTAATGTCACTATGTGCCAGGAACTTTGTACGAGTTATCTGATTGATTTCTCTCATGTCCCCCAAGAGGTAGGTATTATTAGATCATTATTCCTGTTCCACAAAAAAGAAATGTATATGTAGGTACTTTACCCAATGTCATATAACTAGTAAGTGATGTAGCAAGAGTTTGAAAACACTTTATTTGAACTCCAAAGACTTTTGCTTTTGGTCACTTCACTATACTAACTGGGGGTCAAAGGTCAGATGGGCCTTGAAAGGAGTGAAATGGAGGTAGCAGGATGGAGCAAATCGAGGCAGCCAGACACACTATCACTCCTTGAGCATTTATTTTGTGCTGGACAGTG